CGATAAATTACAACTCCCCTCATAGACCAAGAGGCACGCACTGCGTTGGCGCGTTTTCGTTCATGTGCGCACGATCAGGTAGTCGCTCTTCTTCATCAACGTGCAGGGGATGCAGCGCACTTGGTCGTGCACTTCTCCGGCGTCCACGTCAGCATGCACAGGCTGGGCCCAGGGATACCTGGCGGCCCAGGCAATCTGCCATCTGTGGGGATTTTCCTTCTGCTTGTCCCGCCATGCACCGTCGCTCATGCCCTTGCGGATGCGCTGTGTCTGAGCCCGCTTGGCACTGCGAGCACTCGGGTTGGGCGCCTCGCCGCATTCGTTGTTGTCAAGCTGATTGGGTGACAGCTTGCGCTTATGCTGATCACAACCGCCATGGAAGGCAGGGGTAATGGCGGCAGTGTCATCGGTCGCCGCTGGCAGCAACATTGCCGATGCATTACCGACAACAGCACCGCCGTCCCAAACGCCTTTATCAGGAAAAAATTTAGACTTATCTTGCTGTTTTTGTGTTTGTTCGGCGTTCAAGTCGTTGCCTTTTGCGTGTTTGTCTATGGAAGGACCGGTCATACATTCTGCTATGCCGCGTTGACTCACGGGCTTGACCTTCTTACGGCCCCTCATATCTATTTTATGATCGATAATACTAAGTTCTGCACACTACGGAGCAATCGGCAGCAATGGACGTTTTTGGCTGAAGGAATGAAAATGTAAGGATCGGCCTCACTTTGTTCCTTATTTCCAAAGGCCAAAAAGGCTTCTTTATTCCTTAAAAGTAATATATTACTTAAAAAAAAAACACTGCCAGAGACAGACACACAGACACGCATACAGACAGACAGACAGACACACACGCAGACAGACACTCTCAAGGCACCGTTTGCCTCGAAACACCGTGTCGTACACGTGCCTGCAAGTCCATGGCGAACGCAACCGCTTGCTTCACGGTGAGGAAGGCCAGGATGAAGGAGTCACCCTGCAGGGGGCCGCGGTGTGGGAGTTGGGGCGGCGGGTGGGGTTTCCGGGTTCTTCAAAAGGGTACCCAAAACGTTCGGGCAAAACGGAAAAACCTCCAAAATGTTCGGGCCCGAATCGGGGTGAAGAACACTGGGGGGGGTCCGCTGGGGAAGAGAGACGTCCATGCCCTGAAGGGTGGGGGTGTTTCATATGCAAAGGAAACCAGAAAAATAAACTGCCGGCATTGGGAGACGAGAATTGGTGGTCCTGGATCCAAAATGTTAACAAATAGTGCCATTAATTCATCAATTTTATCATTATCAATAAAATTTAATTCTCCATCTTCTGCTAAATCTGCGCAAGCAAGTGTAAATAGGGATGAGAAGGAACTCCACTCCTCCCCAAAACTCACCAAAGCTCATGAACAGAATGAGCTCAAAAAGAACACAAAACTCAGAAAAAACGTAAACAAGCCGAGTTCAAAAGACGCGAGCGTTTGTTTTCGTGCGCCATTCAAACAGACTTTCGAGGTTTTGACGGGAATGCAAATGATGCCGAGAGACATTCTCTTATTTATTAACAGATAACAGAAAAAACGGAAAGGCAAACAAAAACATAAACAAAACGGTGCTAAGACAGCACTTCTACAACTCCTCTACAGCACCCCTCTCACCACCACACTACGCTGATCCTGATTTGCCCCCCCCACACAAAAACACACACATTAATGGTACCCCACCCCACCCCACCCTAGGGCCCCCCTTAACCCCAGCCCCTGCAGTATCCGTGTCTATCTATCTCGGGTATCTGCTTCAATCGTCATTGGTTCGTCTTCTTAACACACACACCCCGGCCCCCGTCGGCTCCTTCAAAACCGCCTACTGGTCAGTTCTGCTTCTCTGCTTTCCTTGCCAGCAGCTTCACTCGGGTTCGTGGCTCGGTTTGCCCCTCCTCCCGCCCTACCTCCCGCCCTACCTCCGTAGCCGACTCGTAGCCCCCGTGCGCCACCAGCAACCGGCGGATGCAGCCGTGATGCAGCCGAACCGCATCGGACATGACCGCTGCGGGGAGCGCCTCCCAGAGCACAGTGGAGTCCTAATCAGGAAACAGAGGAGGAGACACAACGGCAGGGGAACATCGTCATTAGCTCTTTCACCCTCCCCCGGCCCCCTTCCCCGTCCTCCTGCCCCCCAGCGCCTCCTTTCCCCTCCCCCTCCTTCCGCGCCCTCCTGTTACTCAAAACACAGAGGCGCCCGGCACGTGCACGAGCAAGTGCACACCCCTTCCCCCCACTCATGCGGCTTTATGTGATCGGGAAATCACAAACAACATGCACACAAACAACATGCACACAAACAACATGCACACAAACGACATGCACACAAACGACATGCACACAAACAACATGCACACAAACAACATGCACACAAACAACAAAAAAGGAAAGCCGCAGCTCAGCAGCTCAAGAGCCGAAGAGACGCCCGCCACATGCCGGGGTCACACGTACATACATATTACATACACATATACCGCGCCGCCCAACACGAGCTCCCTACGCCCCCTTTCCCCCTTTCCCCCCCCCCCCCCCTTGTCCGACTACCCTAAGCACTGCACCGGCTTGTCCGTCACCACTGTACGATACACAGATCTACAAAACACACACACACAGACACACACACACACAGACACCAACTCAGGCCCAGACGGCCGCCACATAGAGGCCCAAGCATACACCCACACGCTCTTCTCCTTCCCAAAGCAGAAAATCTTTCGCCCGCTCTGCCTCTCTGGATCCAAATAAAAATCCCGATTCCATTTTGGATCCCGAATTCCCCGCTTTGGATCCCGATTCCACCTGTATGTCCGTCACCACCAGCGCCACGGGCTCCCTGGAGCCCTCCTTGTGGCGCCGCTTCCACTCCCAGACGCCCCCCCGAGACCGCTGCCGCCGCCGCCGCCATAGCACCGCCCAGGCGCCGCCGCCAGCAAGCGCGCCCACCGCTAATGTCGACACGACCAGCGCGGGCACCAGCGTCGCCGCGCGGACGCCGCCGCCGCTGCCGCCGGGCCTGGGCGCAGGCGCCGCACCTATACGCGGACCGTGCTCACACATACACAGCCAGCAGGGGCACCACCGCTAGTCATGTGGTGAACCCGAGGGCCTTTTGGAGGGTAAGGCCGCACCTAGATCGCAGTCATGGGCCCCTGGCCACACCTCTGGTTTCAAAATCTCCCTAAGACCCGCAGCATCAAGGGCTGTCATCTGAAGGGAGGAGACCGACGCACAGGGCCCTACCAGAAACCCTACTACTGCTAGGCCAAGTAGGGCACGCGGCACAGTACGGGGAAAACAAAGGTACGCGAAGCCGGGGGTTGCGTGGGCGATCATGTGTATGTGTGTATGTATGTGTGACATACGGACGCCTGCCTGGTTCGACCTCGGTCTCACCTCCTGAGCCGGGATCGATCGGGGGGCTGCTGGGGTTGGTGGTCATAGCCAGGGAGGCGAGGTACTTCTCCAGATATATCTGGCGGGAGGGTTGGGGCGGAGAGGGGAGTAGGAGGCGGGCAGGTTGGGGGCGGAGAGGGGAGTAGGAGGCTGGGGGGGGAGGCTGGGGGGGGAGGAGGGAGGGGAGGAGGGAGGCAGATTCCGTTGGATGCCGGTGGTGGGGTGCTGAACCTAAGCGATCCACTGAAAAGTTGACCAGGGTGACTGGATGAGGGTGCCCAGAAATACCGGGGAAGGCAGGGTTTCGCCGGGTAGCGGCCACGGGTGAAGATATGCCCCCCCTGTCCCACACATCATCACTACAGGTTTGAAAAAGGAAATCAAAAGACCCGCACGAAGCACGGCGGCAGCCGCTAACGGAGAAGATGCAAATGCAACGAAGGGTGCAAAGGGCGGTGGAGGGAGATGGAAAAGAAAGCCGAAGTGCGCACAGCTGAACGGCCGGTCGCAAGCGGCCGTGCAATGCCGTACCTCTCGAGTGTAGTACGCCGCCAGCCGCGCCTGACCTGATCGAAGAGCACTCGACAGTGACCGCCGCGCGGGGCGAGATGCTGGCGGCGGCGGCGGCGGCGGCGGCAGTAGATCCGCCGCCGCCACCTCTTCACCAATCTCCGGCGGTAGCACCCCCGCCTCTGCTACAGCCCCGGACAACACGCTATGACTTGATAACATACGGGCCCGCCCCCGTCCCCGCCCCCGTCCCCGCCCCCGTCCCCGCCCACGCTGCTGTTGTTGCTGTTGTTGCTGTTGCTGTTGCTGCTGTTGCCGCTGTTGTTGCTGTTGTTGTTGTTGCTGTTGTTGCTGTTGCTGTTGCTGCTGTTGCCGCTGTTGTTGCTGTTGCTGCTGTTGCTGTTGTTGCTGCTGCCACCGCAGCGAGAGGCGGCGCTGTCGAGAGGCGGCGGCGGGGGTTGCAGTGGCGTCAAGCCCCGAGGCGGTTGCGAGTTGCTCGTCCAGTACGACACTTCCATCTTCAAGGCCGGCAAGGATGGTCGCCAGGACGTCGCTGTCGGTGGACGAGCAACCACCACCACCAACAAGAACAAGAACAAGAACAAGAACGACAAAATAAAATTCCGCAACGTTTAGTAAAAACACTAAAAAACCAGAAAAAAAGTAAAACAACATATTCAATTAAATGGGGTCCCCCTCTCCTGTGCTAAGTAATTGACCTATACTTTTATACAAAAACAGTAGGCCGCGACGACTTCTCTAAGGTGACCGCATACCCGGCAGCAATGGCAGTAGCGATAGCAGTAGCGGTACCAGTAGTGCCAACAGTAACCGTGTTTGGTACAAAAACAGTTATGGCGATAGTGGCAGCAGCAGCAGCTCCCGGCCCTTTCCCTCCCCCCCTCCATCCGCCCGCCCGCCCCCCACCGTCTCGGAAAAACCCGCATTAGCGTATCAGCTGAAACCCGCTGAAGCCCGAAAACACACACATACATACACGCACACGCGTGTGTACACGCTTACTTGTACGTCATGTGGTACGGCATCCGCAAATCCCAGGCACGGTTTGGATGCTGTCGCGTGAACGCAATGGGAGCCATAGCCGCCGCCATGACGTCAGAGTCGTACCCTGCCTCCACCCATTTCCCCACGGCGTCAGTCGCCACAAAGTGCTCGCGTACGGGTGCCATCGTCTGCAGTAATGGTTCCGGCTCGTCCTTGTCGTACCGGTCCAGAGACGCCAAGTAGGCCAACAGCTCAAAGCCAATGTACTGCACCGCCAACGGCATCCTGTTTGTACGGCAAAAAAAAACACCATCCGTTTACGGCACCGGCTTGTGCCAAGTACACAGGTTCGGTCTGCACTGTGAGCCCACGACGACCAGCCATCAGTGGGTCCAGTCAGATCTGGTCGCTTCTTGATGAGATTGATTCAGGTTATCTACCGGCTGGACAGGTTCCTAGGCAGCGCCTCCAGGCCCCCGTACGGCAGTTTGTGTACGGCAGCCGCAATAACAGTAGGGTGGTAGCAAGTGGCGGTGGTAGCATTGTGGGCCCATTATCCCCCCCTTCATCCTAAACGCATCCGCAAACCAATACAGCTCCTCCATACCCGCCTCCGAAGCTCCGAAACCCAAATACCCCTCTCCCCATCACGGTGAACCCCCCCCCGTTCCCCCGGACGGTGATTTCCATTCCAGTTGACTGCCCCCCACCCCAAACCTCGGGCCCCCCCCCACCCCAACCCCGACCCCACTGACCCGCCGTTTATCGCCACCGCTAAATTGCTCCCGGGAGAAAGCGGCGCATGGTTGACCAGCATCATTTGACTTGGGGCCCCGGGGCCCCCCTCCTCCTGGCCGGCGGGTGTGCGGCCTCCCTGGAGAGAATAGAGGCTGGCCTGGGGGCAGAGCTCTTTCGTACAGAGCTCCAGACTGCCGCCGCCGCTGCTAGATCCAGATCCAGATCCAGATCCACGAACCCAAACTCGGTGGGATCCAGGAACCGGCCACACGCTCAGGCGGCTCATCTCCACTGTCGATTTGAACTCCTCCCGAATGAACATCTGATGTGGCGGTGGTGGTGGTGGGCGGTGGGTGGGGCGTGGTGGTGGGGGTGGTGGTGGGGTGGTGGTGGTGGGGTGGTGGTGGTGGTGGTGGGGCGTGGTGGTGGTGGTGGGGTGGTGCGCAGGTATATGCGGTGGGGAATGCGGAGATGCCAATGATGCGGAAAGGAAGAGGTTAGGGTTCGTCACAAGTCAAAAAGAGGTAATCGCAGATGGGTGGTGGGCGGGATGGTTGGGCTGGGGTGGGGGAAAGCAACGACGGGTCATAGCGGTTAGGAAGGGGGGGAGAAGGGGGGAAGACACACAGACTCTAGCGCAGGAGGGGGGTAGGAGGGCAGCTGCCTGGGCCTCAGTTTCCCACTCTGTGCCCTCCGGACCTCCATGCGGTGTTTTTCTCGCAGCCCTGGGCAGCCCTTCGTACTGCCGCTTTTGTCGTACCGCCTTTCTCTCCCCTTGTCCAACCGCCGCCGCACCGGCTCTCCCCCTTTGCATCACCTTCCGCCGCCTCCCTCCCCCTCCTCCCCTTCCCCCCTTCCCCACCCGGCCATTCAAATCACGGACGTCCGAGTCGCGGTGCCGGGTTTTCGTCCCTAGATACTGTTCCCCACCACCTCTTTTCCCCACGACCTCCATCCACACACTCCATCCCCCCCCCCGCCCCCTCACCCACCCGCATCTGCTGTACATACACCGCCAGTACCAGCGCACAACGGCCCCGCGCGAAACCCAGGCTGCCGTGCGTGCAGCCCTCATCGGGCTCTGAGGGGGCAGAGGCCGCCAACAACTTCCCCGTGATGCGGAACGCCTCAGCCGCGGCGGGAGTGTCCAGCAGAGGGCGCAAGTCGGTAGGGTCAAAATGGACGCCCTGCTGCGACCCGTGGGTCTGTGCGATGGTCGACCAGATCGCTTGGAGCAGTGTCAGCCGCCGGCAAGCTGTCCGAGCAGCGACGGGGTTGGGCGGGCCGGCGTTGGAGTTGGGCGGGGGTTGGAGGGGGGGGGGGTTGGAGTTGGGCGGGGGTTGGAGTTGGGCGGGGGTCGGAATCTCGCCGGGTGTCGGTGTCGCATTTTTCTTTGCCAAACGGCACGTTTCTCCCCCCCTCTCTCCCCCTCGCTCTTTACGTGGCAAATCCCCCCCTTGACACAACCGCCACAGGTTGCTAGGTTGCTAGGTAGCTAGGTAGTAGCAGTAGCTAGCTAGGTACCCTAACCCAGCATCAATCGCCTCCCACCCCATCCCCACCTGCGCCGCGGGGCAGGCAAATCGGGTAGGGCGGCAGCGCCCCGGCACCACTCGCCGCAGTCGTGTTGCTGCTGCTGCTGCTGCTGCTGCTTCCCGAATCAAGCCCCCCGGCTGCTGCGCCAGATGCGGCTGTGGAGGCCGCCTCCGCCGCCAGGGCCGCGTCGCGCGCACGCTGGTAGTCCTCCACGTACTGCAGCAGCTCCTCCCAAGTGCGGGGCACCTGCGACAGCGGCGACATACATACATACACACGGGGCGCAAGACGATCGCGCAGCCTTTGCCTGAGGGCTGTAAGGATGAGCATGGCTCATGACGTGACGGGGCCTCGGACCCCTTGCGCGGGCGCGAGTGGGTGACGGGGTGTGCGGCCTGCGCATATGTGCCTGTCTGTCTGTCGGTCTGTAAGTATGTTAGTATGCGCCTCCGCCATGTCAGACCAACCGCGCCGTTGCAGCTGGTACTGCTTCTGCTGTTTCGGCCATGGGTGCTACAGCCGTTTCTCTCTTTTCCTCCCCGGGGGGTGCTGTGCCACCACAAGTGTTGAGCGCCGGCATTGCATTGGCCCATAACGCCGTCACCGCTATTGCTGCTGGTGCGGCTGCTATTGCTGCTGCTGCAATTGCTGATACTCCGCCAACTCCGCAGAGGACCTACCTCAAGTTTCAGTCGGTCAAACACGTCCCTGCGGTTGATGAGGTACATGGTAGAGCCATCCAGAGGCATGCTGACGATCTGGCCTTTGTACGACGCCAGTTGCAGCCGAAAAAGCTGATAAATATCAGACCACCGAATGCTGCTGACGGAATCCACCAGATGGCTGCAGGGTTCGAACCGGGACATAAGGGCTTTGGAACATTGAATTATCGGTTCGAGCGATTTGGGGTTCCAACGTGAAAGTATCGATTTGCACAGGGGCACAGGGAGGAGCAGATGCCTGGCACCCGGGCCGTTGCTCTGTCGCGGATTTGCGGGGGACGCTGGGCTAGTGGTTGATGTTTGAAGTGGTGAGACAAAATCTCAGCTAGCTGCTGTACGTCCGCTGTGCGTGGGAAGCCGCTGGCTTTTCCTTCAAAATAACTAATTCATAAAATTTGACAAGAAAGCGGGTAGAGCAGAAATCAGATCGCGTCATGGCCCTTCTCGCTTTTGCGACGGCCTCTTCCGCCCCCTTCCAGCTTCACGCCGTGCGACGCTGTATTATCTTTTCATCTTTATCTACGCCGAATGCTGATATGCTAAGGGATTTGCCTAGGGAGCGCAATCGCTCGCCTTCCTCACGTGCTTTGCAGCAGCGCGCCTGAAACACTAGCTGCATTAGCTGGAATGTGACGATGAGATACTACGCCTCTTTCCATGGAGCAGCGATGAACACACAAGAAAACATATAAAGAAAGAGACTTTGCGGTCCTAAACCTTGGCGACATCTGCCTTGCCCCAAGCATACTCGGATCCACCTGGATACAGATACAGAATCCTGGATCCCGGGTTATAGACACCTGCGCGCCCCTCACGGACCTCAGGTCAAGGGACATGCCGACGTCGGCGAGGTGCTGGGTGGTAAGCGTCGTCTGGAGCCACACAGCGTGCTGGCGTGAAGGATGCAGGTTGACATCGTTCGTGATGGTGTCGAGCAGACGATCCATCGGTTGAACATTCAGGTCCAGAGGCACGCCAGAGGCCTCCGAAAAGCGCAAGAGCGTTGGTCGAAGCCAATCTTCGTAAATGTCCGGAAGCAACACGCGGAGTGCAGGACCCCATTCCTGTATGCAAGTTGAAGCAAATTGGGACGAGGTGGGAAAGATAGATTTGGGAGAATATTCTGAGTCCGAACCGAACGCCGGGTTGCCCGTTGCCGTGATAAAACGGTTGGTGAAAGAGTGGACTACACAAAGGTGGCTCACCGGGTCCCCTTCGTTGATAGTTGACCAACACTGATACCATCCCTTTACAATATCCTGCTTCAAGGACTGCCTGCTCCTTGACGTTAAGTTCCCTGCGACACAACTACTTTACGAGGCAGTGGACGACAGCGGGATGCCCAGAGGGCAACAAAACAAGTAATTTCATTAGGTAATGGCTTTCTGTTATTCATGGAGGCACCATGTGAACGTGCTGCGGACCTGTCTATGGAGGACGCGATAATCTGTGGGCATTTCATGTACAACGTATCGGTCTCATTGTCGCTGATTGCGCTCTTTACAGTGCAGGTCCATCCAAGCACCAGCACCAAGAACAGAGTGGCGCAGACCATTGCGGCACTTGCACCTGAGGAAGAAACTTAAGAGCTCAGATATCTTGGGTGCATAACACCACATGTGGACACCTCTTGTCCAAAATTCTATGGCGTCATTGTGTGTCGGCTTCATTCCATGTGCTCGCCCACGGCATCAGTAACCTTCCCAACATATGCGGCGACACTTTGTTCCTGCGCTTGAACCTAAGCAGTTTATTTGACCCTTTGGTACCTTGGCTAGTGTCAGTATCAGGGCAACTGCATGTCGCTGGGATTCCCAAAAACCTTTACTGTACGAACATAGACCCGAGGACCCGTACACGGCCTTGCCCTTTCTACTATGTTGTGCCGGGCATCTAACACATGCATACTTAGCGCCATTAACAGTGCAGTGCTCATATTTCACTTGGCTTTCGCATCCCTCATTCGTGGAAACCTCACGTATACGAAAATATCACATTATGAGATATTAATTACATTTCCTGGGAAGAGTTTTATTGTGCACGGTTCAAGGCGCGAGTCATCAGCCAAAAAGCAGATATCCACGATTTGTGTAGAAAAAGTGTTTAGGCGGGACTGTGCGTAATCAACTCCATAAGCCCGCTTGAAGCTAGTGAAGACTGGTTCACCCCTTGCACATTCATTTGGGCTATGCTGAATACATTCGAGGCGACTGCGCAGACCAGGTACGGCTTGGTACAGCAGCTGGTCTGGCAGTTTTATGTCTTGTAGCGGACTTTTCCGGTTATATTACATATAAATTGCGCAATGCTTGTGACTAGCACGTCTGCCCGCGCGGCCGCTTGCAAGATATCACGCGTCCGGGTCAGACCAGCAGATATGTTGACCGGCAAAAAAGCAGGGGAAGAACCTCGCGTTTTACCACATTTACCAAAATTAACAAGCTTATCGAAAATTTTCAACTTGCGTGAAAAGGGATATACGCCCTGGGTCCACTGCAGCGTAGATGAAATGGCTCCCCCAGGAGTCTCCGCCATGTGTCGCTACGGAGCCGCAACACGCACACCGAATGCAGAGATACATCCTGCATAGAAATAGCTTTACCGTCCGAGGCTTGCGCAAGGAAGGATGGTTGGAAAGCGCGCAACGCCCGCAACGGTCCGCAACGGTCAAAAACTCGTTGGAAGCAGGACGGATTGCTGTCGCGCACTGCTCCCTTGACTCTATTTGTGGAAACACAACAAGTTTGCTATGCCAGCGCAACTTCCATAGGCCATATATGCCTCGCCAACCCGGAGTTTGATCAGGCCATTAGGTCACCATCTCGCAACACGCACTGTGAAACTGCGATGTGTGCAAAAAGGCGCGCTAGGTCGCTCGGACGGGTATAGTGTATAGTCTGCGCGCAAACAGGTTGTCCTTTAGCTTTTAAACCAGGGAAGGCATTCCCTGGCTTCGAGTGAAGGAGCCATGCATTTAAGTAAGATTTTCGCGCAGCGCGGAGATAGAGTCAAGGAGGAGCAGCAGCATCCCTTGCGAAGCAGGGTTTGGCATGCGAGCTGCAGTTTTCCTTGTCTGTCTGTCTGTCTCTGCTAACCGCTCCGGAGCCTTGGACGTCCGCGGGCGTTCCTTGGACGACGGTACTCGGGGCCCCCGTCGGGGGAGTGTGCGCCCCTAGAGCACCCTTAACTGTTTAATAGTCGCAACTGAACGGAACGGCCTCCGTCGCCAACGTTGGTGGTTATGATTTCTCTTCCCGTGCGCTGCTCAATTTCGGTGCGTGATCCGCTGTCGAGGATTTAGGATCCAACCGACATGGCCTGCAGCTTTCCCTGATATGCTCCTCGCCGTTGCGCCAACCTGAAATTGTGCTGCATTTTATCGTTAGGAACACATGCCATGCGATTGCGGTAAAGCTTGTTGCAGTAATCGAAGTAGTCCAAAGGTTTAAGGTCAGGCACAAAGGTTGGAACAGCAGGACATAATCAACAGCTATATTGCGCCCGCTCCTAGTACCGGCATTAAGATAACAATAGATAACCACCAGAAACCATAGGTTACGGCATTAATATCCTTGTATTTGTATCTGCCACTAGTAAGGGCGCAAAAGTCACTGCCGCAGCCCGTTTTCGTCTGTTTTCGTCTAGCCGCCTCGAGAGCAAGCAGGCAAACTTACGACAAACGTAAAATTTCGAGCTCGGAACTGTGTTATGATACAGAAAAATTCGAGCAGGATAACTAAGGCTGCGCATGGCTTGGGCGTCGCGGCTCATCTGGTGGTACCCGCCTCGGTTCATCACCGTCGGCGGTTCGTCGCTCGGCGCACTGGTATACGTCACGCTGTTGGCCCTGGCAAGTGTGCTCAGCACCAGCGTAGCCGTAGTGGCAAGGTTAACCCTTAAGGTTAAGGACGTGGCGACCTGGTGATGGCCCGAGCGGAGAGAGCGGAGCCTGCGCGTGTGTGCGGGGAATGTAGCAGAATATTTTCGTTTGAAAAGACCTTGGGACTGCAGCAAATTGCTGTTGCCATAACCTATCTTTAATCGTGAAAAAGTTCAGTTTAAATGTTGTCGTGCGGGAGAGCTTCACGCCTCGCTTTCACGACCGAACCTGACGACTGAGCTCTCTCGCCGTGGTTGCCGCCCCCTACAGCGGTTACCTTCTTATCTTATCTTCCTGCGGATCTGCTGAAGACTCTGCTTCTGTGATCCGCCGTGTACTATCCGAAGATCCTTTACTTGGGAGTATAATATCTTAAACTGGTCTTCGTTTTCACCAGCAGTTCGGCTAACGTTCGACGGGATCTGCCCGTGGCCCCCGCCTGTCGACCTGTCCCCGGGCCCGCTGCAGACCTCTCGGTCCTCCCGCGCACCGCACGCGCGCCACCCTCACCGCTACTTACAACATATAATCATTCATCCGATTTTTTTACTTTCATCTCTTTTATCTTTCTTTGCTCGTCCATCGCTGCTTCGTACATGGCCGAGCTCACACTCGAATTCCTAATCCCCGTGTTGCCAAACCAGGCCGTCTGGTTGTGCTGGCTGGGCACCTACCCGCTGCGCCGATGGCAATACAGGCACTTCCCTGGTGGGTCTTTTAAGGAGCGAAAGGAGGACGGAAAGGGAAGGAAGGGATAATCGAGGAAAGGCCTTTAGGATGTCAGGCCCCAAAGGCCTGGATTCGCTCTGGCAACGCTATCACCTTCGCTATCACACACACACACACACGCACACACACACACACGCACACGCACACGCACACGCACACGCACACGCACACGCACACGCACACGCACACGCACACGCACACGCACACGCGCACGCGCACGCGCACGCGCACGCGCACGCGCACGCACAGGCACACGCGCACGCGCACCCGCGCACGCGCACCCGCGCACGCACGCACGCACGCACACACACACATGCACACGCGCACGCACACACACACACATGCACACGCGCGCGCTCGTTCAGAACAGGGCTGTGGCGTTGCGTCTTGGTACCCCCGCCGTCGGTCACACACTTTTCAAAACACCGCGCGTGCAATCGCACGGTCCAGGCCCCTTGCAGCCGTCATCGCCAAATGCAGCTATTCAGCCACTAACGTAGCAGCGGTTGACGGGTGATGCCGGCGCGGGGGCCTTGGGTGGCTGTGGCTGTGGCCATGGTTGGCAGTAGCGCACTAGCAGGATCGGCGAAGATCGGGGCGCTCTGCAAGACGCGGTTATTCAAGCCGGTCGTCGAGATGAACGACTTTGACACTGTATTTATATATATATAATTGTCCGCATATGGAACAAAGCAAACCTCGTGGATGGATGGAAGAGCGGGTACTATGTCGTACCGCGCAGGTCCGCTTGGGTGGCCTTTCGTGGGTAATCTGCCGCAAATCGTTGCCATGGACGTAACCAAGTACCTATCGTACACGGCCAAAAAGTACGGACCCATCTGCAAGGTACGGATGGTCATGTTTCTGAACTTGCGTGTTTATGTACGTAATTTTACGGGAGGAGCCGCTCGCAAGGAGCAAACACAGCCTTGACAGGATTGCAGTAAATGACAGATGATATCACCATCAACGTGGTCGGCGGGTAGTCATTCAAGCACACGCAACGCTTTGTCCGTTCCGTCGTACACAATATGCCAGATAATGGTTCTTACGGCATGTACAGCACGCCACGTGTGACGAACCTGAGGCGTCCAGGAATTTCCGCGTGCGCTTTGAACATGTGCCCGTATAATTGTCAACTACCAACCTATCCAACGAACATTTAAATACCTACTTAACTTCCATCTATTCTCCAGGCCGGCTTGCCAATACTATTTTTTCTGCTTTTTTACTCCTGGCGGCCTAGGTAGGTAGTCTTTCCGACATCTTCTTCACTTCGTCATCCCGAGGTCACGGTCTCCACGGACGCCTTTCGGTCAGTTCTACGTTTGATACTCTCTTGCCCTGGCAGCAGCTTCAATCGTGTGTGGTTCGTCTTTCCCCCCTCCCCCCTCCCCCCGCCCTCCCCCCTACAGATCTGGTTCGGCACCAGGCCCTGGCTCCTCATCAGCGATCCGGTGCTCGCACGGTGCGAAGAAAAGAGAGCTCCACCGAGTCCGTTTTCCTCCGAGCTCTAGTGAACCAGCGACAGCACTGTGCATGCTCTGGGGGAAAGGTTCTGAATCCAACCCAAGAATCTTGCTGCATATCGTACACCTTGCGTCGTACATTGCCACTGAGGTCGCTTGTATTAGGTGTCCTCTGTCTTTAGTGTAGCGATAGACCCTTCCCCACTAACTTCCATCCGTACTTCCGTACTCAACCACTTCTCCGTACAGATCCCCGCGTGTCCCCCTCTCCGTGCCGTGTTTTGCCGCCGCACCATCGTATCCGAGATCTATTCCCTCCGCCCCCTCCTCAACCGCAGTAAGTTGGCCTTCCAGTGCACTGCGCGTCCCTTGGAGCTCCCCACCTTCCTGGACACTCTCACGGGAGAGAACAGACAGATAGAGCTGGTCAGCGCCTTCTTCGCGCAGTGAGTGAATGAGTGAGCGAGCGGGCGAGTGAGCGAGTGATTGAATGAGTGTGCGAGCGAGTGAATGAGTGAGTGAATGAATGAGCGAGCGGGCGAGTGCGCGAGTGAGTGATTGAGTGCGCGAGTGAGTGAATGAGTGATTGAATGAGCGAGCGGGCGAGCGAGTGAATGAGTGAATGAGTGAGCGGGCGGGCGAGCGAGTGAATGAGTGAATGAGTGAGCGAGCGAGCAGGCGAGTGAGTGAGTGAACGAGTGAGCGAGCAGGCGAGTGAGTGAGTGAACGAGTGAGCGAGCGAGCTGAGCCGAACCGAACCGAACCGAGCGAGCGGGCGAGCGAGTGCGTTCCAGGTTGCAGAGCGTAGGGCCCAGAAGTAAGCTAGGCTTTCCTCCACGCCTGCCAACACCCTACGACAATTTTTCAGAGATCGCTCAGTTTAAATCAGCAGCTCTCCTACCAATACCACCCAATCAGATGCTTTCGTGCATCCGCACAGCAGTACCAGTCTAAACTATAGCTTCAGAGCATTGCCCTCGTGCAGGAGTTCCCAAAGATGCGTCTGTCTGTCTGTCTGTTTGTCTGTATGTATGTATGTATGTATGTATGTATGTATGTATGTATGTATGTATGTATATGTTGTATGGGCCCCGCTGCCTGGAGGGGGCAGCTGCCCGGCGGATCGACGTGTGGGCGCTGCGCTCGGCCCCGGCAGGGCAGGGCCGGGGCAGGCCGGTGTGTTTCCCGCGTCTACTCCCGCCAAGCGTGCGGGAGGGAGGGGAGGGCCGCTGCCAACCCTTGGTGTAATTCCCCAGCCACACATGCACGCACAATCTCGTCATACAGCCGTCTCGCGACACATCTCATAATAAAACCCACCATCGCATGCATTACCCCGGCCCCCTCTGACGCGATCTTCTATGCATTGTTGTTGTTGTTGTTACTGGGCCCGAACAGTGGGGAGACTTGGCGACGGGGACGCCGCGCCTTCGAGGCGTCCATCATCCACCCGGCCCGGTGAGAGCCCCTTCAGACGGGTGGGTGGGTGGGTGGGTCGAGTCTGTGGTCTGTGGTCTGCGGTCTGTGGTACGTGGTACGTGGTACGTGGGGTGGAGCATATGATGCGCGCATTCCGTGGTGGGCTGTGGGGGCTGAGGTGTGGTGCACGAACATGGGGTACAACACTTTGTGCTACCCATACGCACAACCTCTGGCTACTGTCGTATACGATGTACCCCAAACACCGCCTTTATTTACCCATTGACCGCCACCACCCATTCTTCGACGCATACGTACAAACGTACACACGTACACGGACTTCTTCCCTTGGTGCTTTTAGAGTCTGGACTTTTGGTGCCATTGACTTTTTGCATTTTCCATTTTAGGCTCTTCAACCCACCGGCAGTACAGCATCCGCCCCTTACACGCGCACATGATATTTCAATGATGGTTTTTATAATTTCCCCACCCCCTGTCCCCCCCGTATGTCACTGCCCGCCCCAGCCTGAACGCCCACCTGCCTGCCGTACGTCGCTGCCTGGCCCGGTTTATCCCCTCCCTGGAGCGATACGCTTCCTCGGGTCAGCCCCTCAACGCGCTCAGTGCCCTGGGTGACCTCATGCTCGCCATCACGGGGGAGCTGGCGTACGGGTGAGGACAGGAGGAAGGGGGGAGGACAAGGGGGGGAAGGGGGATTGTGTTGGGGGGAAACACGGACGCGTGGGGATGTAACAACCACCACACACGCACACACGCGGACAAACATACGTGAGCACACACACATACACATGCACGGACATGGACACGGACATGGACACGGCTAAGTTGTGGTGTCACAGCCCGTGTGAAACCCGCGGCGCTCTTTGTCAGCCATGAGGAGATCGCGCGCAACGTGCTGCTGTGGTCGTACATCACGCCCTCGTACATCATGCCGTACGACTGCCTCTCCGTCCGTAGAGTCGACTTTGAGGTGGACTTCAACTTGCTGGAGACAAAGGCGGCCTTCCAACCCGACAAGGAGCAGGGCCGGCCGCAGCAGAGTCAGCACCAGGCCGCCTACTACCGCAAGCAAGGCCCGCCGAGTGGGGGCGCGGGTGCGGGTGCGGGTGCGGGTGCGCGCATGGCGTACTTCTGCCGGGACGTGTTTCGGACCTTTCGGCTTCAGGACGCCTCCATCTACCTACCACTGCAGGTACCACCACACCAGCCTGCCCCCCCCCCTTTCTCTCTTTCTCTCTCTCTGGTTCTTCCACAATTGTGTGAGCAATCAATCTATCTAGCAAGCAAGGTTCAAGTAGTCCAACCGCCTACACGGCACCACATCAGCAACACCCCGGCACAGCAAACTGCGCCACATTACAAGTCCTTACCAAGACACGTACACGAGAGGCGCCCCATTACACGATTCCATGTCTCGTAACATGTACCCAGCAACAACGCCCCGGCCCCCCCTTAACAACACTACTGCCTGACAGGGTTCGACACCCCGTACGGGGCCCGTAAGTTTTTGGCCTTTTTTCGGTATCCCCGTCAGGGCCCGTAGGACTTTACGGTGGCTCCCGTAAGGATTTTGGGGCGCGAAGGGCCCCGTACGGGGCCGCCCCCGGACCGGCCGAAGGCCGGTTACGGTGGCTCCCGTAAGGATTTTAAGGATTTATAAGAGGCCGTACGGGGCCCTGTAGGGGAGAGGACGGACCATATAAAGGATAAGGCCACACACTTGGCAGACATAATTCATATTGCAATATTTAACTACACTTTTCATAATACTTTTATAGCTTCTGGTCTGTAACATCCAGCGATGGCAGACAATGAGTCGTCAGGAGGTGACCAAGGGCCTCCTAATCCATCGCCCTCCAAGAAGCGCGAGAAAATAACGAAAATAACGATTTACAGGGCAAAAAAATGCAAAGCGTCACTTTCCACAGCGTTTCAGCCAAGGATAGTGCCCCCGTAAAGGTTTTGCGGGGGTTACGGGGGCCCCTGTAAGGTTTTCGGCCGGTACAGGAGCCTGGTACGGGGGCCCCTCCGTAAGGAAAATTTGGGAGGTACGGGGGAGCCCGCAAGTTTCAGGAAGGTCAGTGTCGAACCTGCTGCCTGTGCGATACATACAGTAACTGCATCACAGAGTGGAGTGGAGTGGTGTAGTAGCTGGTACACAGTACGGCTCTACAAATACGCGCGTATCGCGACCACCAGCATCTCGAGAGGCCTTTTCAGCGGGGCCAGCTACTACAAGTGGAGTGGAGTGTTGGGGGATACGGAATTACCGGGAATCAAGCATCGCCTGTGTTTCTGTGGACCTATCCCGTGTTGTGCATATACGAACCAAGCTTGACGCGCGATCCACGCTGTGTCTTGCCGCCACACTCACCCATGCAGCTCGTCTTCCCTTCTATGGCCCCCGCCATCCGCCTCCTAGCGGACGCCCTCCCTGACGCCAACCAGCGCCGCTCCATGGGGGCCAGATCCGCCATGGCCGTCGTCAGCCGACAGCTCATTGCTCAGTGGGCGAGGGCCAGAGCCGACGGCGGCGGCAGCGGAGGTGCAGGCAGCGGCGGCGGCGGGGAGGATGACTCCGCCAGGGCGGTGGCGGTGGCGCCAGGTGCGCATTCCCCCCCGGACGCTGCCGCCGCCGCCGCCGAAGATTGCGGCCGCGGCGGCGATTTTCGAGAGGTTGACGGTGGCATCAGCGGCTCGAGCTTCCTGGCAGCGATGCTTGAGGGCCGGCGGCGGCGCGGAGGCGGTGTGGGGGTGGCTGAGCAGGGGCAGGGGCAGGGGCAACAGCAGCAACAGCAACAGCAGCAGCAGCAGCCGAACTATGTGGAGCTCACGGACGATGAGGTGCGGTCGGGGGTCGGCGCGGTCCCTTCACGTTTTATCAACCCTGCACCCGTTTCATCAGCCCGCAACGGAACAAACCACCGCCACAAGGACCAACAGGAAACGCCTCCCCGTGTTGTCAAGTCGATCGCTCCTCGTGCCGCGTAGACATGCAAGCGTGAAACCCCTTTTCTTTCCCCCCCCAATCGGTTGAGGTCGAAGCTGGGGGTTCCCGCCAGCCCCCACCAGCCCCGCCGCCCTCGCAGCCGCATCATCGCGACTGGCACCATCGCCGCCACCTCCTCCTTCACGTGCGGAGCTCCGAAGTTATATTGTTTTTCTCGGGTCAAAATCAAATAGAGGCGCAATCGGCTGCCGTCGATGTCATTTCCAGTTCCCCACCCACCCATTCACCCACCCATTCACCCACCCATTCACCCACCCATCCACCCACCCATCCACCCACCCATTCACCCACCCATTCACCCACCCATTCACCCACCCATTCACCCACCCATCCACCCACCCATCCACCCACCCATTCACCCACCCATTCACCCACCCATCCACCCACCCATTCACCCACCCATTCACCCACCCATTCACCCACCCATTCACCCACCCATTCACCCACCCATTCACCCACCCATTCACCCACCCATTCACCCACCCATTCACCCACCCATTCCCCACCCACCCATTCACCCACCCATTCACCCACATCGGGCTCTCCCGGACGTCTCCTAACAGCTTTCTTCCTCGTTTTTTCCGCTAAAATACTTCCATCTAAATCTTCATCTTCACATCCTCACCTTCTCATCTTCATTATCGATGCGACAACGCAGCAAAAGTCCCCGCCTGCGGCCTCAGGATGTGCGTGTGTGAATGCGCATCTGCAAATGTAGGTGATCGCGCAGAGCCTGACCTTCATTCTGGCGTCCTACGAAACCAGCAGTACAACCACCGCCCTGGCGCTCCTGCTGTTGGCCGCCCACCCAGGAGCTCAGAGGCGACTCGCGGAAGAGGTGGACGCCGTACAGGGCGGGGAGCTGACGGCGGCGGTGCTGGCCGAGGTGGGGAAATCGGAAGAGGGTATTTGGGCGCTCCAGGGGGCGTTCACGGAGGGTTCATGGAAATGATTCAATGCAATGGAGAGGTCGTTTGTATATGCTTGCATATGTGTTTCTGTGTGCATGCCGTGTTTCCCGTATGTGTATGTGTATGTAGGTATGTAGGTATGTAGGTATGCGTTTCTTTATGATGATCTTCTGAGTGCCGCGATGGCGGGGAGGAAAATGTATGTCGATGGTCGTACACTCGCGAATAAATTCGTACCGAAGCGAAATCTGTACCAGTCACCAGCGACGTATTATTAGGATTTTCTAATGAAACTGTAGACGTAGCTTGAATATTTCGAGAAGATGTTGATTAGGAAAGAGTGACGTTGCCAAGAGCCCAGAGTAGGGGAGTAAGCGGAGGAGGCGCTATCGTGGTGGCGAAGGGCAACGACCCGGTGGGTTGCTAGAACTGCAGTTACAACAGACAATGAGGGCAGCTGTCATCTGCACGAAGCCAAAGCCCTGCTCGGGAAATCTCCACGTCACCCCGCACTCCCCTCTCACTGACCCCATGGCTGTACTGCATATCATAGTTGCCGTACACGGAGGCCGTACTGAAGGAGACCATGCGGCTGTACCCTGCTCTCCCGATGATGCACCGACATGCACGCAACGACATCAGGCTGGAAGACGGCAGAGTGGCACCCAAGTAAGCCGCGGATGATGCTTTAGGGTTTTAGTTAGGGTTTTAGGGATTCATAAGGGTTTGGCTTTATGGCGGTTGCTGTTTGTGTTCTGCCAAAGGGTGTTCCAAACGCAGAGCTCTGAAGTTTTTGGGATTCTTCGCTGCTTTGTCTGATGCTACAGAATGCTGCTGCCCCGTGTGGGTCTCACCGACAACGCGCAGGCTTCTTCATTCTAGAACCCCGTTCGACGCCCTGACAAGGCGTGTCAACGTGTTAGCTTCATTTAAAATATTAGGTTTTCATTTACGAAATACTTGGTCTTAATATACGTATATATATTTTCAACAAAAACGGAGGGAGAGTCGTTCACCGCGAAGCTGTCTGTCTGCTCCCTCGTCCTCTGGCCACCTCAGAGGCACCTTCCTCGCACTCTGCTCGTACAACATGCACCATGATGCCGACCTTTGGCCGCAACCGGAGCTCTTTCTTCCGGAGAGGTTTCTAAGGCCGGAGGTCGAGCCCGGGGGCGGCGGCGGGGGCGGTAATGGAGGCGGGGGCGGTGATGGAGGCGGTGGCGGCGGCGGCGATGGCGGTAACCCGCTGGGCCGTGCACACCCCTCGCCGCCGTGGTTCGGATTCGGATTGGGTCCCCGCATGTGCGTGGGACACAAGCTAGCGACGATGGTGGGTGCAACCGCAACTTTTACAATACCTCTTAACAGTTGCCTGCCATGGCCGCACACGGCCTGCGCTGCGCTTGTGTCCCGGCCAAGCCACGCCGCGGGCCAAGTCGCACCAAAGAATGAAGTACTGGGGCCTTTTACGCTGACGACCACGAGATGTGCAGGAACTGTAAGGAAATGTTGAAGCCGCACGCTACCGGTTGGACTGGACAGGACGTGACGCCGCCGCCGTCATATTTCTCCCTGTGCGGTGTCCCCCAGTTCTGCTTCTTCTACATTCTTTCCTTGGCAGCAGCTTCACTCGTTCGTGGTTCGTCCTTCCCCCACTTCCCTCCCTGTAGCAATCCTGCGCCGCAGCCCCCCTTCTCCCCCCGGTTCGTCTTACCTCCGGCGCTCCGTCTGCCCGCGCATACGCTGGAATTCGACAGGTAGCGGCGGACTTGGACAGTTTTGCGTTGTAGGGGATTCATTCCTCCTGTTCCCGTTCCTCCCTCTCCCTCCTCGGCTGGCAGTTCACTTTCCACTTTCTCACATATGATTCCCACCCCCCCAACCCCCCCCCCACACACACACACTCCCGCACACGCTCTGTCAGGTTGCCAAGGCCACGTTGGTGTCGCTGCTGCGGCGCTTCAGCTTCAGCCTGGCTCCCCATCAGCACCTGCCCCCGGCTATGGCCACGGGCCTCACCTACGGGCCGCGAGACGGGGCCGTCTGGCTGCAGCTGCACAGCCGCAACACAGCGCCCATAGTCGCCGTCTGAGCCCCACCTGACAGCACGCAGCTATGAGCCGAGCAGGGAGCCGAGTGTAATCTATGATCGATTTTGCTCGGAGAGCGGATTTCGGCTGGAAGTTCGGATGTCTTTCGGAAGTCGGACCGGAACCTGCTTCTGCGAGCCCGCGGTAGTCGTTGAATGTAGGATTGGCGTTACAGCGCTGATGAGATCGGAGTTGGTTAATGTTGTTGTTGTTGTTAGTGGTGGTTTTGGTGGTTTTAGAACACGCCCTTGATAAGACTTGGCTGCGGTAAATTGAGGTTGAAGGAGCTGCCTTGTGGGCTGTGATTGTGGCATTTCCACGAGCTACACTTTTTTGTAACGCCTATAAGTTCAGTCGGCCTGAGGCGGCTGGGCTGGCCGTCTGGGGCCCCGACGCCTTCAGCCGAGCGGTGTACGACAAGAGCAGTGGCCGTACCCTGGAGATCCTTCAGTGGCTGCACACCGAGGGCTGCCCGGTGGACTGGGAGGAGGCCCGGAGCCGGGCCAAGACCCGAAAAGTTCAATGTTGGAGGACTGCAACAAAAGCTGTCGTTATCGTAGCCTGTGGGTTGAGAGCATAGCGCCGAAATAGCTGTCCGGACGAGCCGGCCGGGTCTACAAAAGTTGCAGATGTGCGTATTTAGCATATCATGTGCTTCTGTGAGGAAGGGGGAAAGCGAAGGCGGAGGGGCCCTGCGAGGGGATGGAGGGGAAGGGGTGGGATGATAGATGACTAATCGAAGTGCATTGGAGTGGAGTGGATGGGAGTGGAGTAGGCAGCAGTGGAGGTAATCAATTAATGCAACCGTTCGTGCGGGGCACAGCACAGCAGAGAGCGCAGCACAGCCCGGCGAATGCCCCTCTCGCCTGTGTTGCGGTGCTGATTACCAGATGCATTGCCGCGGCCATGGGCAGGGACGATGGTGACCTCATGGTAGGGACGATGGCGTAGGAGGAGGATGCAGCTGCACAGTTAGTTGTGGGGAAGCAAGGAGGACCTGGCGCCCGGCGCCTGGAGGTACGACCGATCAAGCCATGCAAAAGCGTAGTATATCTTTTGGGTAGTCTACTTGTCCGAGGGGAGGTGGAGGTCCTTATGGGCTACCGACCGACCCCGGCTCCGGAACCATACACCCCGGGTGGAGGACGAGGTGTACCCCAGATGCACAGACGCCATGTACCGGATATACACTCTTCCGGACGTGACCGTGCACAGCCAAGGCTCCGTACCACGTGCACAGCCCAACGACCTATATATAGCCCACCCGACCCGAGGGGTGTCCTGGCTGGAGACAACTTCTTCTGGTGCGCAGTTTTGGAACAAGCCGAGCCAACCTTTCCTCCCCTCCCAGCCTTGACAGGTCTCAAAAGTACGCTTATGGTCCTCCCCAAACGGGTGATCACGCCCTAGCCGTGCTCACATACGCTAATGATAGGTAACCTTTGGACAAGATAACCTTCGGGGTAAATGAATCAACGAACGTAGTCCATTGTTACGGCTGTCGTACAAACTGTGATACGTTTTGTCAATTTGACCACCATCCCGCCAAGAGCCCGCCGCACCCCTGCCTACCTGCCTGCCCGCCTGTACCTGCATTACAAAACCCGCCGTACAGACGACACGCTATCTAAAGCATCGTGGTGGACAATACCGCAGGTGGTGGGAGCTACGGGCCAATCCGCGCCATGGCCTTCGGACACATGTGCATGTGACATGTGCAACCAGCGGTCTCTTGAGTATTTCTATCCAGGAGCCGTGACGACACGATAACCCATCGCCCCCGATTCTGTGAGAGTGTAGGCACCCGCACCCGTACCACTATCAGCACCAGAATCAGCAGCAAGCAGCCGCGTGATTATCACGAGCAAAGACAGGGCAGGTCTTTGCTATGCTGTGCCAATAGTACACCTAGTCCCCAACCCCTAGGAGCAGCCCCTTCCCCTGCTCGGCGCTGCTGAGGTTGCCGCCCAACCGTAATAACCTTCCTAATCCGCCCTAATCCCTCCCGCTCGCTGCCGCCTCACGCCTGCTAATGGGATTCCAAAGTCAGGAAAGAAAAAAAAACTCCTCAAGGAAGACGTAAGTTTTATGAGCACCAGCCGCTTTACCATTTCCACCACCACCATCGCCACCATCACCACCGACGCCAAGGACATTCACAAGCACATTCACATTCGCGTGTCAGAGGACCGTTGCAGCTCCAATCCAAGCCCATTTCAAAGTCATTGGAACGGGCGCAGTACCCCAGCCCCGGTAACTACCGTTATCCCACCGCCACCACCACCGCCACCATTACGGACACCTCTCGCCGCCGCAACCCCGGTCACTGGCCCTGTCGGAAACACCCTCCCCGGCACCGCCCCGGGACTGGCCCCCGGCCCTGCCTCCGCCCCGGGCTTCGGCTGCGCGTACGGCGGAAAGCGCGGGTTAAGGCGGCGCCAGGACGCTGGCAGCTGCATCTGTCGACCCAATGCCGCGAAGCTTTCCGAAGCAAAGCGACCCAATGCCAGTCTTGCCTCCTCCTCCTCCTCCTCCTGCTGCTGGTGCTGCTGCTGCTGGTCCTTCACCTCTTCCTCCTCCACCTCTTTTAACTCCTTTCCCGGGTCTTGTCCTTGCAGCCGCCGCCGCTGGCCTGCCATCACAACACGTCGCGCCAGCAATGCATCCGCACTGCGACTGGCGTACAGGAGTTCGAGCGGCTCAAATGCGCCGCCGGCCGTCAGCAGCGCCGCCGCCGCTGCAGCCAGCCGCCGCAACCAGCTGGGCGGCGGCACCAGCTCTAGCGACGCCGCAGCCCACAGCGCCTTGACCACCAGCGTCCGGTCCATGTACGGCGGCTCCAAGTACGGCAGTGTTGCTTCGTACCATTCCGTCATCCACGCTGCTGGCAGAGTCGCGTCGACAGCCGCCGCCGCCGCAGCGGCGGTAGTAGTAGTAGCGGCGGCGGCGGCGGCGGAACCGCCGTCGCCACCTGCAAGCCGCCGATCCAGGGCCTCCTGCAGACACGCCAACGCTTCACGTTGCGCCGGCGTGGCGGCCCCGCCGTCACGGAGCCGCAAGAACGCCTCCAGCTGCTGCCGCAGTAGCTCAGCACCGGCGGCGTACTCCAGTCCCGCCTCTTGCAACAGCCGCTGCCGCCGCTGCTCCTCATCCTCCTCCTCATCCTGGACCTGCCCAGCCGTAGTAGCCGTAGCCATAGCCGCTGTAGAGGGTGTTGCCGGGGCCGCGGCGGGGGCGGCATCACTCTCCCGTGTGGGGGGAGACCGCCCTGCTGCACCTCCCCCGGATTCGGGCGTGGGGTCGCTGCCGCCAGGGCCGGCCGCGGGCTCGTCCCGTCGTACATCCGCCGCTGCGGTGGCGCTGTCCGCCGCCGCACGTGCCACCTCCCGACAAGCGGCAATCGCCCACAGCGCATTGATAAGGCCCTCCGGCGGGACCTCGTGGAGCCGACCAGTGGTCTGAGAGGTTGGGCCGTTGACGGTTGGCAGGTAGTTGCAAGTTAGGTCGTTGAGGCGCTGGGATGGTAGTTATCATGTAAAGCGCGGTATCGCGTGCTAAGAACGGCGCAAAAAGGGGGTTGAGCGCGCGGGATACCGTGTCTTCAATTGATCATCTTATCTGAGCGGCGATACGGGATTTAATGTTCACACATGTGGATATATTTGTGCACCTAGCAGCCCGTGTCCTGCCGGATTACATTGGATGGCGGTGAGGAAGGCAGGCAATGGTGGTTTGTGTCTTGTGCGGCTTGGAGTGCGATTTCGATAGACCTGGATAAACGGGCCCGTAATGGGGCCACCGCCGTACGTGCTGTTGCCGTACCATGAGACAGTAGTTTTGGAGCCAGTGTCCCTCCAGGGGCAGCTGCATGCAACCCAGACTCCACAGTACGGCAGTGGCGCCTTCAGGACTGAGACCCCCGACCCAGATTCCGCCTAGCCAGTAGGCCTGCCGGGAGGGGGGAGGGCGCCAGGTACGACAGAGAATCGTACGACACAGGAAGCAAAGACGCAACTGCTGCCGACGTCCGAAGCAACCCTCCCAAACTGCTTTGTCGGGGTCTAAAGCGGCAGGTCGTGGGTCAGTTAGGGGAATGGAGGAGAAAACCGATTATGATTCAAGATGATTACGTGGCGGTGATGATGATGATAATGATGATGATGTGATGGTACGTACTATGTATTGTGTACGTACGTATGTACGTACGCATGTATGTATGTACGTAGCCCACTCCCAGTCAGGATGAAGGCGGGGGAAGGGGTACGCTACACACACCGACGCTACGTACCCCCTCCCCCAATTTCTCCCTGCTCTCGCTGCTATCAATTTGCTGCTCTCACACCACTCCAACATGTGCCGCGCGCGCGTGTATGTGTGTGTGTGTGTGCATTCGCGCGCGCCAAACACCGCCGTACCATACCGCTCCGCCCCGTACCTGGACCCACTGGTCGGGGGGAAAGTAGTTGTACGACGCAAACGCCCATGCAAGCCGCGCCAGTTGCTCGGGGGGGAGGTTCGACAGGGCACGCGCCGCCTCATCGCCACCGAAATCCAGACCCAGATCCAGATCTTGATCATCTCCAGGAGGATCTGGATCCAGGGCCTCGCGAGTGGTGGATCCCTTCCCTGTCCGGCCTCGTCGCGGTCGCTGCTGGATCGCGCCGCCGTCCCGCAACGCCCCAACGCCCCCAACGAGGTGGGGGGTTGCGTGACAGACATGAAGGGAAGAGATGGGGGAAGAGATGGGGGAAGAGATGGGAGAAGAGATGGGGGAAGAGATGGGGAAGAGAGGGGGGAAGAGAGGGGGAAGAGAGGGGGGAAGAGAGGGGGATGCGGGACAGACATGAAGGGAAGAGATGGGGGAAGAGATGGGGGAAGAGATGGGAGAAGAGATGGGGGAAGAGATGGGGAAGAGAGGGGGGAAGAGAGGGGGAAGAGAGGGGGGAAGAGAGGGGGATGCGTTCGACTTACTGCGGCACGTGTCTGGATGATGTGCCATTGCCAACTACAACAACACCGCACTAATAACACTCCCCCTGCTTTTCTTCAGTTCTGCTTCTCTATCCTTGGCAGCAGCTTCACTCGCTCGTGGTTCGTCTTTCCCCCCTTCCCCATATTAACTTCCTCTCCCTCTCCCTCCGCCCCCTGCCCCCCGTCTGTCACCGCGATGACTCCTTCTTCACAAGTCGCGACTGGTTAGTTAGTTAGTTGGTTATTGCTTATCTGCTTCTTGCGTAACCTAGCCTATATCCTCCTCCTTGGCATCAGCTTCACTCGTTCACATGGTTCGTGGCCTTCCCCCTGCCCCCTCACCTCGCCATCACCTCCTCGACCATCCATCGGTCCCCAACCTCGATCCGTACTGCTGCTGCTGCTACTACCGTCCCTGTCGTGGCCGTAGCTGTACGACATGCTGAGGGTTGCAAGCGCCAGAAGGTCAAGTAGCGGGTCGGCGGGTCGGTAGCCCATCCGGGCAACCGCCCAGGCCACGTCCGCCGCATGGGTGGGACTCAGGCTGTCCGGTCGCTCAAGGAAAAGCCGTTGGATCTGTTATGGCAATACGAGCCGACGCAGTCGACCCGTAAAATTTTGATATATTTAGGAAAATAAAAAAAATCGTTTATGGCGGGTCAGGTCACCGACCAACCGGTGATGATAAACTGTATATAAGTTGGCCTTAACAGCAGTCGAGGGTGTGTCCGTGCTATGTATCGGCAATGTCGGGGGTTCGGGGTAGAAAGCGAGGTGGGGGAGGATTGGTTAAGCAGGCCTGCTCAGCGATGGGCAACCTCATGCAAGGAACATCTGAAAGAGGAATGGAAAGAAATAAAAAAAGTATGGACAGGGTGAAGGGGGTACGCAGCTCTTTTGGACGGCTCACGGGAGCAGCTGCCATCCGTCGTTGGATGTCGGATGGAAGCGCTCCTCGCGGAACCCAGCGAGCGTACTTAGGCGCTAAGGTAATTGAACTTTAACTGGGAGTTGGGATGGGAGTGGGAGTGGGAGTGAGGTCGAGAAGGTGTGTGTGTGTGTGTGTGTGTGTGAGGAGGGGGGGAGGGAGGGACCGGGGATTTCCGGAAGGGCGGCGGGACAGCGCCGGTGGGGGGGGAAGGGGGGCCGATGAACAGGTACAAGCAAAATTGCTATCGTGGAAAAGTGTGATGAGTACGACACTCTAGGGTATGCAGTACATTTTTCCCAGGACCAAAACTCATCGCACGACGATGGATGTGCAGGGTTTAGGCGGGAAGGGGGAAGTCGCCGCCGCCGCGCCGCGCTCGCACCTGCTGCAATGCCCCCCCGACCCACGCTGCCTCCGGAACTAGTCGTACATCCGCCGCCACCCAGACCAACAAATCCGCCACGTCATCAGCACGCTCGGACGCTAAGAGCTCAGCTCCCACAGCCTGGGGGGCCCAGCGGCGGACAATAAAGGCCGCGGTGAGTTCGTCAGCGACGCCGAGAGCATAAGGCCCCGGAGCGCGACGAAAGTGCGCTCTATCCACATTCCGTGAACGAATGGGTGATTCAACGGTTTGGCGCGGGGGGAAGGAGGAAACGTGGGGGCAATGGCGGGGTAAGACGAACCAACACTGACGATTGACGCAGATGCCATGCGGGCGGGGATGGCGCGTGGTTATGAGTAACGTTACCTGCAAATGTATGTGTTTATCGATATGAGAGAATGTGCTCCCAGGTCTTTTTTTTTGCTTATCCCGGGCTGGATTTGGATATCTTCACATGCTACTGATCTTTGGAGTGGGATGTGACGAGAAACAGGAGACTTGGATGGCATCCGCCCTGATGAGATCCGCCTGAGGTTAGGGGTTGGGTGGCGGTGTCCTGTGTGTGTTGTGTGTGTGCGCGCGTGTGTGGTTTGTGTGTGTTTGTTTGTGTGTGTGTGTGTGTGTGAAGCACACAGCTGCCTACGAGGACTGAAGGTTCTTTTTGGGGGAAATTGTATGCCAAGCCAAGGAAAACAGCTGCCGTTGGGCTTTGTGTAGAGAAGGCGGGGGCGGGGGGAGGGTGTGGGGATAAAGGTGGTGCGCAGGGGCAAGGCGAGGGAAGGGTGGGGGGTGGGGGGATGTGGTGATGTGGCGAGCTGAAGGCTAAGGAACCGCAAACAACACAATGCGGGCACACGTACCACACACGGCCCCAGCATCCACCTGGAACGAGTTCGCGGTCCACATACGCACCCCCCCAACCATGTAACACACACACACTCACATACACATACTGCTGCATTCCCCTCAACCCCCCCCTCTCCCCCACGGCCTCGGCCGGGAATGATACGTCCGTCCGTATGCTATGTCTGGTGTCCGGTCATACCTGCCCCCGTGCTGGCCCCCTGCACCCCCCCGGCTGCTCCAAACCCTCTCCCTGCCCCTCCCTATACGTAGGAAAAACCCGAGCCGTCCCGCAACCCCCAGCCGCGGGCCTGTCACACCCACTCCTTCGTAAATGCGTCGTCACGCACCGCACACCTGTAGCAGTGCCCGAGCCCACGGCTCCGGAACCTCCACCCCCAGACGCCCCAGTGACCGTGCAAGCGTCGCCATCTCCCCCACCGACAACTGCGGGAGCACGGGCTCAATGACGGCCAAGTACATGTCAAGCCAGGCTTGCTGAGGTGCCTGGCCGACGCGTGCGAGTTTTTCTAGCGCCGACACCAGGCGAGCGGGCTCCACTATGGGGGCCGCTACGGCACCGCTGCCGCCGGCACCGCCGGACAGGGCCGCGCATTGGCAGGAACGACGGTACAGGTGGGGAGGGGGAAGACACTGCGGTGCTGCGGCAGCTGCTGCTGGTCCGCTGAAGCTGCTGGCCGTGTGCGGCCGCGGCCGCCGTTGCCGCAGTGTCGAAGGTAGGGTGGGCCAGGCAACGCGGTAAGGTGCGGGGAAGGGCTTGGCGGGAGGGCTGTGCGGCGGTGTGGTTGGGGGAGGGGGTGCCATCGTCCTCAAAGGCGCGTGGAAGAGGAATTTCCCTGGTGGGCAAGCGGTTTCGGATAAGGTCATAGCTGAGGTGCACGCAGCCGCAGGGGGAAAGGTGAACGTGCGCTGTTGATTGGGAGTTTGGCGACACGGGAACACTTCCACGAGAGTCAATGCGGGAGTCAACAACGCTGACGACGCGACCGTTGCTCTCGGAATTCTCTTGGCGTCCGTGTCTATAATGTTTTGGCATTTGGCGCCATCACGAGTGCAAGGTAGCACAGAGTTTCTCACGAAAAGCACCGGCAAAGGGTTGGATTTGTAAAGGCCGCGATTGATAGTTTTCATGGTGCATACAAATTGAACATCATTCCATGCAATGCCGATAGCTTCACATGCTGGAAACAGCGAGGGATGTATACTGGCGCGAAACGGGTCCACATCTTAACATACCTACCAGCTCCCACCTCAATGCCAGCGTGACACATCCGGTACCGGTGAAGCAAAAATTCAAGCCGAAATTCGTTGAGGCTCAATTCTCGGAAAAGCCGTACTGACGGCCCTCCTGGACCATAAGAAATTTTCTATGTCTGTTTTGGACCTTCCTGGTTTCATACATAGTTCTTAGGCCAAGTATATTTTAGGTGCTCGAACTGCCGACACACAACTGCACTTTTTGATTGCCCTCGCCCTTGCCCACGAGATCTGCGGCCCCTCCCGCCACCATGGCTGAGATAAAGCCGACGCCCAGGAAGGTCATTGAGACCATGAAGGAAGCCACTGGTGCCACGGAAGAAGATATCAAGTCCATGCTTCAGCTTTGCGGAGGGGACGTTAACATGGCGACCGAGCGCCTCCTTGAGAGCCCGTTCCAAACAGTGGGCAAGAAGAAGGACCGCAAGGCACGCGAGGACGACCGCAGGAATGATTCTCGTTCTGCTGGTGGACGTGGCTACGATCGGTTTGCTAACGGTGGCTTGGGAAGGGGCCGCGGCAGGGGCGAGGGCGGGCGTGGCGGCCGGGGGAGCGGCTACGCGACCGGACGTGGATCTGCCGGGGCTCCGCCGCCGCGCGGTCCGTCCGCCGGTCCTCGCCAGACAAACTCCTCAAATTTTAACACAGATTCTAATGGCGGTTCGGCCCATGCCGATAGCAGCTGGGCAGCGCCGACCGCTCAGGATGGCGATGCATGCGCATGGGGCACCTCGGGCAGCGCCTCCTGGGGTGAGGAAAAAGCTCCCGAAACTTCTACTTCAAATTCCGCAGGATTTGGAACTTCATCTGCGGCTGCGGCATCTACTTCCGGAAGCGCTTGGGGTGCGGCTCCAAGTGACAATGCGAGCGCGCCAACTCAGCATCCGGCACCGATCAGGCCGGGAGGGGGCATGACTATGGCCGCGAGGCTTAAAGCGACGCAGCAGAAACCTCCAGTAGCCGCGCCTGCCCCCGCGCCTGCCCCGGAGCCGCCCAAGCCTGTCGCGCCAATTCCCGCTGCAGCCTCCCCCACGCCCGCTGCACCGCCCGCGCCGGAGCCGGAACTGGTAGCATCGGCCTCAGCTGTCCCAACAGCTGAACAAACCATCACCTCAACAAGTTATGCTGTGCCGTCAGTTTCGACAGCAGCAAGCGATTGGGGAGCAAATGCTGGCAAGGACCTTATGGGGATGCTGTCGGGCGCCAGTAAGGCCGCTGCGCAGGCGGCATCCTCTGCGACCCCACCGGCAACCGCGGCTTCCCCCGCAGCTGTGCCCTCTCCCGCGCAGGTCGCCGCACCAGTAGCGGCGCCGGTACCTGTCGCATCTGCCCCCACCGACAAGGTAGTTACGCTTTCTGCAGCAGACAACCAGGTGGCACCCCCCACGGCAAGCAGCCAGTACGCCTCATACGTTGCCGCACCCTCGCCTGCTGCTCCCGCTCTGCCGGCGGAAGCGCCCAAGCCCGCAGCTCCCGCACCGGCTCCGACCGCGCCGGCAGCCCCGGAGGTGGATAGTCTGCAGCTGAGCTTCGGCACGTTTAACATTGGTGGCGGTCTCGGTGACTTTGGCGCCAACTTCAGCACATCCTACAACACCCAGGCCGCTGCCGAGCCCCCGAAGCCGCAGCCCCCGGCACCCCAACCGCAGCCACAGGGACAGCAACCGCAGGCTGTAGCGCTGCCCCAACAACAGCCACAGCAGGTGGAGCAGGCGGTGCCCGCTGCACCAGCTGCCGCCTCTACGGTTGCCCTCGCCGACCAGTACAAGCAAGCCTATGCCCAGTATGCCATGCAGACCGCCGCCGATAAAGCTGCTGCCGTGGCCGCTGCTGCCCCCTCCGCATCCGCAGCTGCTGAGCATTCCACACCCGCGGCCACCTACGGGAGCTTCCCGTCGCAGGCTGCTGCGGCTTTTGGCGGCGCGTTTGGCGCATCGGGCTTTGGTGCTGCTGGCCAGGTGCCTGAGGCAGGAGCGCGCGTGTTCACGCAGACGGATTACGCCGCCGCGTACAGCCAGGACGTTCTTAAGCAGGCCGCACAGTCTGTCTATGGGCAGGCGCCGGCTGCCCAGACTGCGTCAGCCTACGGCACCCAGCCGCAGCAGCCGCAGGTCGCTGTACCCCAGCAGCAACCCCAGCAGCAGGCCCAGCAGCAGCCGCAGCAGCAACAGGTTGCCGTTCCCCCGCAGGCCCAGCAGCAGCCGCAGCAGGTGCAGCAGCAGCCGATGCCCGTCAGCCAGCCGCAGCAGACGGCTGTGAGCCAGCAGCCACACCAGCAGCAGCAAACCCAGCAGCCTTACGCCACGCACCAGGTTAGCCAGGTTCAGCAGCAATACGCTGCGCAGTACGCAGCGGCTCAAGCCCCGTATGCGCAGACCCAGATCGGACAGCCCGCCGTGGCGAGCGCGGCCGCTTACAACCAGGCCGGCGCTGCCAAGTACAACCCTGCTACTGGCATGTACGGGCAGGCGGATCTCAGCGGCGCCGCCGGGGCATCGAGCGCGGCGGCTGCGAGCACCGCCACGACCACGGCACCGCAAGTGCCCAATGCCCAGACAGCAACTGCTGCGGGTGGGGTTCCTGTGAACCAGTACACCGCCGCGCCGGGCGTTATCCCGCCCATGCAGTATAATACCGCCGGAGCCGGAGCAAGCCATCTGCAGTACACGCAGGCGTACCCGTACAACAACCCCGCGTTTGCTGCAATGTACAATAACCCATATGCTGCTGCGATGTATTACCAGCAGGTACTGTACTGTAGTAAAGGAAACGCAATAGATGCAGGTGACTGCGCACGTCTGTATTTGTTGTCGGGATTGGTATATATACTGTGCTTGTTTATATCTCCTAGCGCACGTTGAGTGTTTCTGTCTGGCCGGCGCTTTGTAAATTTATACATCTTGCGGGTTTTCTGTAGTTTAACGGGATTCCGATTTCTACTAGAAGCTCTATGTCTCAACCATTTTTGGCTCGTCCCATTGCCACCTTGTTGTCGCGCCGCAGATGGGATACAACCAGTACCAGAACCCTGCGGCGGCTGCAGGATCGCAGCCCCAGCTGTACCTTCAGGCCAACCAGCACATGGGCCAGAGGTGCGTTTTAAGACACGCGCACATCTCTATTTGACCTGCCATTTCCATTGGTGGAGCACGTAGTAGCTTCGGGCGTATATACCACGGTGTGAGCGTGGTCAATCATGCTCTTTGGGGTTACGTTTGGATTCAGTGTCATGAATGAAGTTTGCACCAGTTTGGCATTGTGCGCATGGGCAACGCCATACCTCGCGGTTCGGGCGCGCACGTGGTGTCCCTTTCTTGCCTTGTTAGTTGTTGTGCTGCGCAGGGGGACAACTGTGCGGTATTTGGGGACGCGGTGGTTTATATCCCGTATTTTCGAAACCTCTTCTGCCACGCATTGCTTCCATAGAGCGTTTGAATTAAAGACGCGTTGAGTTGTTTAATGCCAGGAGCTTCAGGAAGAACTGGTGTCGGTCGTCTCTAACAAATGATCCCTGCGTAACAGTTTATGTTACCAATTACAGGTAATTGCTTCCTGATGAGGACTTTTCCCCCGCTTCCACTTGCGCAGGTCCGCGTTTCCCAACTACAGTGCGGCCAACCCCGTGGCGGCCGGTGCTGCTCAACTTCCGGGTGGCGCCTACAACACAAACCCAGCTGCGGGTTACGGGTTGACCGGTGAGCAGAGCTGTTGCTACGGCGCGTGTAATAACGTTGCGGGAATATCTATTCAGGATTGCAGGGCTTGAGACCTGTCTTCATAATTAAGTGATCAGGTTAGGGTGATCGTGTCCAGGCCTATCGCTAAATACCTGGTGCGACAAGTATCGAGATCTCATCTTTGAGTGGTGACATGGAAGTCAGTGCAGAGTGTGTGCCGTTTGCACATAGCATATGCGGTATCTGTGCGCCCAGGTTCGTGGTTGAGCGCACCAACGTACTTTAGCCTTCTAAACTTTACCAATGTTTTTTCCGGGCTCGTACCGAGTCTTTACCCGGTTGGGTTCTCAGCGAGCCGCTATGGTCAATCAGACGATTGTCACGCCACGAGGAGCTGCGTGTCGTCACGTCCTCATGTTATCCGCATCTGAACATGATTGCATCTCAGTTAAAGTGGCCTATTCTTTTCCCTTGGACAGGCTATGATGATGCCAGCACAGCCACGGCGTCTGCAGTAAACGCGGCCGCATCGGCCGGCGCAGCCGCCTACAACGTGCCGGGGGCTGGTGGTGTCAAGCCCGCCGATAAACAGGACCCAGGCAGTCTCGGCGGCTATGGCATGGGCGCCCAGCAGCAGCAACAGCAGCAGCAGCAGCTGCCCCAGGCTGCCATGCAGCAGCAGGCAGGTGGCCAGCCAGGGGGCCAGGGAGGGCACATGGGACACGGCGGCCAGCACCACGGTGCTGGGCACTATGGTAACCAGGCGTACGGGGGGTACGGTAACCAGGGCTACGGTAACCAGGCGTATGGCAACCAAGGGTACGGCGGCGGCCACTACGGTGGTGGCGGCTACGGCGGTCAGCGCGGCGGCTATGGCGGGTACAACCGCGGGGGCCCCGGGAACTACAGCAGGCAGTAGGACGGGCACTACCGGGATGAAAGCCTCTGGCTGCCATTGATGTGCGTGTGAGATATCTGGAAAATGCGTGCGGGGTCAGCTCTGGATCTGGGCCTACGAATCGTGTGGATGATTTGGCAAGGTGCACAAAAGGAAATCGTTTTCTTGCGGTTTGTACCTCTTCAGTCCAGAGGTGGTGGCGTGTGGCGCCGCGAGAAGGGACCAAGTTGAGAGGCGTGCGGTGCTTCGGGGCTGGGGCTTTGACCGATGAGCACATGTGCAAGATGGAGCCACGCCTGCTCTGGCCTTGCGTGGTGGTCTGAAGGCGACAGCGTCGTCGGAGATGCGGCCTGAATGTTTTTTGCTTGAGTTGTGGTCTGGATTCCTGCTCCCTTGCCCTGCTGAGTTGTGGATTCGGTCGGGTTTGACTGGACCTATGGGTGCGGGAAGGTTGGTCCACGGGCCACTTGCGTCCTTTGTCTCCGTTCCCTGCACTCCCTGCAGCTGAGGCATGCACGACACCATGGTTGTGGTGTTGTCCTGGATGAGAAAGCATGGCGGGGAAGAGGGACCTAATGAGAGAGGCAGGCGGCTTGGGGAGGTGTTGTCCTGACTGGTCTGTAGCGAAATGGAGATTTATAGGGGCAGCAGGATGTGTTGGTGTTACACAATTGCATTGTATGCCGCGTGGGATTATCAAGGTCGTTCTCTCTGGCAGCAATGACGATACCAAACCCCAAACAAGGCTTTGCCGTCTTTTGCCGTTTTGTTTGGCGTCTGGTTACTCAAGGTGTCAGGGGCGCCGTACGTCCGCTCAAGTCGCCGCCTGGGATGTTCTTAAAGTCGTATGTCTGGTCTTTTGATGACTTAAACTTTAGGCATATGCGGACACGTGGGGTAGCTGTGAGAGCCCTTGGGAAGGCTCTTGAAATTTTTGCCATTTGCGCACGGGTTGGGGGTGCCGATCACAAGGATGCGGATACGCGCCGCATTACTGTCGTACTGGGGATAACTGTAAGAAAGCCTGCGTCCCGAAAGGTTACTGGGCAGATAAACTGTTGTCACGTCGCGCAGCTTGAAGGATTGCTTTCGCCCAGTCTTAGTGGATTCCATGGAAGTGCAGAAAGCAGGCATGCCTGTCCGGTATCGACAATGCCAACTAGACCGTTCATTCAATTTGTGTATCTTTGAAATGTTATGGATAGCGCGGAAATTAAACGAGCCCCCCAATGGATCCGTTCTTCGGTAAGCAAAATGCTTGTTGCCATCTGTGGACAGGAGGCTTGAACGAAAGCCAGGCCAATTGCCCAACTACTCGAATGATCATATGCCCAGGCTAAATGCCAACATCGTGCTTAGCCAATGCCTTCTGCAAGGCATGCAGTGTCTGGTTTATCGATAGTACAGGCAAATTCTGGTAGTGGTATTTCCTCGGGAAAGAACGATACCTGCGGTTGGCAGTAGGATACCTAGCCTTCCGGCCTGTCTGGAACCCACATACGGATATCTCGATGGCTATAACCTCCCTCAACGTCTATAACTGGTCACACAGGACAAAGGCCACGCAATTACTTTGCGACAGGCCCACGACAAATGACGTAAATCGAAACGGATGGAACACGATCGCGCGCCGACACACCAATTACTACTAACAGGAATTCCTTTGAAAGTATTTTATTTGAGGTTGCATAATAGAAAGAAGACATTCACAAGCGCGCTAGTCTGCGGCAGTTAGGAATTTCACGTAAGCTTATTGACGAAGCTAGGCATTTCGCTCCACGGCGCTCGCAGACGCTAGAACGCACAGTGCTCTCTGTAGAGATGGAGAAGGATGAAAGCGGCTTTTGTGATCCCTCACGTATCCTTGTCTCCGCATTCCAGCGTTCGAAGAGGAGCCAGTCGGAAGTTACCCGAAACGACGCAATCCAAACCCAGCGTGCATCCCCGCATGCGCATTTCTCCCTGGTAAGGCATGCAGGGCTTCTTAACCATCCATGTACAGAACGCTTCCGTAACTTGCGTACAATGTTATGAATGCTACGACCAGCCTTTAAGTGGATTCACTCCATGATATTACTGGTACAGTTGCTGAGGAAAATGTTTTCAAAGCCATTGATGGTGGAGGGCACTGCCTTGCCGGGGTCAGGGTAAGTCCTGTACACATTCTGAAACCCAGTATTACCTACAAAATAGAAGACACACGTAGGAATTTGCACGAAATGAAACTGAAACGTGATAACGAGTGAAACAAGCCTTGAGCTCGACGGTGGGCGACACGAAGCAGGATAAGAAGTGAGCGACTATAACCTACCTATGTCATGCATAACGTACACGGACATAGAGTTCCGGCTGGTGAAGAATTTGCAAGCTGTGACTAACCCAAACCGTCTGCTCGTCTTTCTCTCAGGCTCCTCACGAGAAATCGTGTGATGGATGATTATGTGTCAGAATCAAATTTTTGGTAACTGAAGTAGCTTAAAGACAAGGTCGTCAAAAGGCGACCTAAGGGCTGCCTCGAAATCTCAAGGATGCTGTACAACTTTCGTGTGCATCGTGTCAATAGGCATGTTTCATATTATAAGAACATAGTTTGCATGTAGCCTCCTCCCCTAGAATGGGGACACACCAAATGACCTCTTGCGGTCTTGCGTATCCCTCTTGCGCAGCTGCGCAAGTATGATGCAGGAAATGGCTTGTTGCTTTTGACACCATGGTTGTACCACTGTAGACACTGCTTTCTGCTCATTATTCCGCAAGCGGAGCTTGCCGTTAGTTTGTGCGAGCCCTTTCTTGAGTTGGATATACCTCAATAAGCTTTCGCAGACCAACACTCTTAGTTCCTGAATGGAGCAGCTTTGGGCTTTGGCTCAGGGGCAGGAACTGGCGCGACTAGAGGTGGAGAAGCTCATCGAGAGTGCTGGACGGAGTCGGGTTCACAAGTCGCTATGTCACCAGATTGCTCAAGTGGCACAGGAAGCTTTCATCCGTCTTGAGGCGGTGAGTCTAATGGAGAACAGCTACTCAGAGGGTACCCTAGATGTGGCGGCCTGCATGGGTCTGTAAACCTCATCTGAAGGCTATTTTGTTGAGGAGGAAGGTGGTGGTGATGCTTTGTGCTGTGTTCCCGCCCTCCGATATCTGTACTTGTTATCGGGACTGATCTGCTGGCTTGCCTTGCTTCCATTACCCGTGCAGGCTGCGCGGGAAAGGCCAGGAGACGCTGCGATTCTTCGCCTTACGTTTGATCGATTTTGCGTTGTTGCTAACAACTGCCGTGCTTGCGTGCAGCAGCTCGGTAACCCCAGTCGCCTGGGGCGATTAAAGGCAACTATTTTCCCGCAGCCGTAAGTTTGTCTGTTGCTTTCTCCTGGCATGCGTATAACTATATTTAGCGTTAATATTTTGGGCGGCATCAACATTGGTGAATCGATAGTGTCACCGTTTCACAGGTGCTTTTCTTAAGACTTCCACGGAAGAGGCGAAGGATCCTTTGTCCACGGCATCCATGTTACCTAAGTTCTTTCCCGCGGTGTTGGTAGACCAGATGTAGATGCGAGCAGAGCAGGGAGAAGGCTAGAGACGTGCTCTGCGTTATGCCGGGGTGACAGAAGAGCCACAGCGTACCGCACCAAATCGCCTCACAGCTTCGCTAACGCTTGCGACGCAGCAGCTTTCACTCCTCTTCCCACCCTCCCTTCTCCCAGTGGATCCGTCTATCTCTGGTATCTGCTTCATTCGCCAGTGGTTCATCTTACCCCCTTCCCACGCGCTCTTACTCCTATCCCATACCGCTGTTTCCCCCTTTCGCGCACCCTGGCAACCTGTCACCTGCATAGGCGTAAAAATGCAGAGCGCGCCCTGTTTGACAGCATCAACGTCCTGGTGGAAATTGTGGAGCAGGCTGCAGTCCACGCTTCCGGACAGCTCACGCTCCAACGCAATAACACTAGCGTCATCGGTGGCTTTGGACCCCTTACCAACCCCTCCATGCAGCGCATCTCCAGCAACAGCCCTATCAGCCTCCGGAACATGAGCTTGATGCGCGGCCCCGGCGGCACCAGCTTCTTCACCACGTCCAGCAGCCTCTCCCGCGCGATGTCTTCTCCCACCTGGTCGAGCCTCGAGTCCGTGTTGTCGTTACAAAACGACATGAGCCTTCTGAGGTCCCGTTCCAGGCGGGAAAGCTCCCGACCGGGCAACCGTATGGGCAACAGTACCACCGGCGGGCTGAGGTCTTCGATGGGCCAGTCGAGCGGCATACGTGAGGGGGCCGAGCCCATGGCACTGATGCTCAGCGGGGGGCGAGGAAGCGGCGAGGATGCAGGCGGGGAGGCCATGCGAAACCTGCCATTTGAGCAACGTGCCGTGCGGTCCAGCGACGGCAACCCGGTGCAGCGGCTGTGCTTTTTGCGCGGCGCGGGGGGCGAGTCGGCGGCGGTGCAGCTCATGGTGGTGCTCAGCCGACAGGTGGTGCGGGAGTAGGAAGTCGGTGTGGGGGGGAAAGAGCCGGCGGGGATGGGGGAAAGGGAGGTTTGGTTGGGGGTTGGCGTTGAGGGAGGGGTTGATTGGGTCGGGCGGGAGGGGTTGCTGCAGGTGGGGGGTTTGAGGAGGGTGACCGGGAAGGAAGTGGGCTGACGGACCCAGATCTTGTATTGATCCGAGCCGGTGCCAAGAACTGCCGAAATTGGCGTAGATTAGTACACACACCTAGATGTGTATGTGTGTATGTATGTATGTGAGTGACCCGGGTACGGTGTTGAGAGCTCACGGGCCAGGCACATGCCGGGTGCGTTGTGGGGATCTGAGAAAAGAGGAATGCGACGGGTCGACGACTGGTCGAGGCAAACCACCCAAATGGTGCACCAGTATCTACAGGTTATTGGCACGATCTAGCATCTTCCTGGAACTCCCCGCCCTTGGTCCGCGTGTCCTGTCCTGCTTGACCTGTCGGTTGTCGGTTGCTTTCCCTGCGTGCTGGCGCGAATTCCAGGTAGAGGTCTACAGTGCTGCGTTGGACTCCT